TCAGCAGCACAGACCTGTACAAGTTAAACTGTCTACATTTATCTGCTGTAACTGTGAATCAATTTAACTTGCGCAGGTGAAGTCAGAATTGGACTAACAAGCTGAGCGAAGTATTACCTCTAGATAAACTTCTTCCTGTTATGCTTTATGACTGTGACAGAATAAAGCTAAGAAGTTTTCTCAAGGCATTGCTGTTTGATATTGCTTGTAAGTTTTGTGTTCTTTTTTAAAGTTACTTAGGTAGGAGGGAGGTGTTAAATGCATAAGTGGTTTTATTCATGTAATCCTGTTATGCCTGTGTGTAACCTATTGTTGCTTGCTTTGAAGGTTTTATGACAAATACCCTTGTTATGTGATGATTATTTTGTTCAAAGATCACTACCTAAGTTGTTAGGTTAGTATTGTTAATGGGTAATGTCAAATTAATACTACTGAATTGAAAATCTATAAAAGCAAATTTTTCTTATGATTGCTTGTCTAGTACATGCTAGAACTTAGAAGAAAATGAGGGGAAAAATATTATTCCTCTTTTGAATTTCTAATTTTAGAGAGAGATTCTAGAAAATAATTATACTGACTGTGTCTTCTTCCTAGTCTGCGTATCAAAGAAACAGACCTGCACCATGTTTTTTCCACACTGACTGGTCTATGCATAAGGTTTGGTGGTGTCTCATTTTTGGTGGTTTTGGTTACTGACTTATTCTAATCATAACTAATCATATCTTCACAGGTTTGCTTTTTTTGTTATGTAAGTCTGGGCTTTTCTGCTGCTGCAGAGATGAGATGAAAAATTATATGACTTTTTTTGCCCCTATATTCTCCATCATGCCTTGAAGGTACCTTCTACTATCAAATTGTTTTCTATTTATTTTCATTGTCTAAGGGAGCATGTCTGGGATTGAGATACAGTAAAGGATGACCTCCTATCCTTATATATTCAAATGCATTGTGATGTTTATTGCTTCACTTGTATGGAATTGTGTGGATCCATATTATTATGAAATAATAGTAAGATTAAAAGTGAGTTTCATCAACGAAGAACTGGTGTATTTATGTGTTTTTTGAGAATACTTGAGGAAGCCTAATTTCAAAAGGTTACAATTTTAGTGCTTCATGCCCCTCTCTATTTGCCCTTTTAGTTAATAGGAATGTTCCGATTTATTGCTATTTGTGCTTGAAGACCTTTTTTGTTTTAAACAGTAATGCAACTTAACTTCTTACATCTGCCAAGGAAATTGCATCAATTTAGCAAATATTAACTTCTATGTTTTGAAAAAGACTTGCTCTAACTTTCTCCTCTGAGACAAATTAAATAATCTTCTTCATTGGCTCAGTAATCCTGAAAAGGATCAGGTCTCTTCCTTTGTGACCCCAAAGGGATGGGTCTTGACATTTAAAAACTCAAAACTTGGCTTTCATGTTCTGTTAATGCTCCTCTGTGGATCTTGGAAAAAGGAGGTCAGGCATGCTGCCAAAGTTCAAATGTACTCAAAATGAAGGGAGTCTATCCCACACTAGTCAGGGGTGCAACAGTCCAGTTGACAGCTAATGCCATGTATTAAAACATATATTCTAGATTATTGATGCTGCCTACAGTCTTTAGCATATTTTCTCAGTACAATTTTCTTACAAAAATAATGACCGCAGTCTCATTCTCTTGATGAGTGTATGAATGTTCTTAATATGAACTTGCTAAGAATTGTTTACATATCTGGAAGTTTCTAGGAAAACAATTCATCTCCCTATGTGAAGACCATGTGTTAGCAAGCTTGCATGTTGGCAACATCTGTTCTGTAATTATTACAGTGATAGGCCTAACATCAATGCCAATGGTCAAATGAGACTAAAAAGGAAGAATATATTTGCAAGTAAAATATAAAAATAACTGACTATTCCACTTGTTTTTCTTCAGTAAACATTTAAAATTGCTTATCAAATCTAGCACCATAGGTGTGTCAGGTTCCCTGCTACCTTTCCCTAATAGTACCTCGCAGTACTTTCCCTATGTTGTGGTTTAACCTGGGAGGCAGCTAAACACCACACAGCAGTTTGCTCGCTCTCCCACCTGCAGTGGGATGGGGGAGAGAATCGGGGGGAAAAAAAGTAAAATTTGTGGGTTGAGATAAAGACAGTTTAATAGGACAGAAGAGGAAGGAATAATAATAATGATAAAAGAATATACAAAATAAGTGATGCACGGTGCAATTGCTCACCACCCGTTGACTGATGCCCAGACAGTTTCCGAGCAGCGGTCACCCCTCCCCCGGCTAACTCCCTCCAGTTTATATACTGAGCATGACGTCACATGGTATGGAATGTCCCTTTGGCCAGTTTGGGTCAGCTGTCCTGGCTGTGCCCCCTCCCAGCTTCTTGTGCACCTCCAGCCTTCTCAGTCGGTAGAGCATGGGAAGCTGA